TGGATGAGAAACACAGGAGAGTGGCTACAAGAAAGACATCGCGTTCAAGGACTGAGTTGGAGGCACTCAAACATTCAGAGGTCATAGTAAAGGCAAGAAACCACTAACAGAGACCGAGAAGGAAGAACCAGGGAGGTAGGGGCAGACCAGGGGAGTATGTTTTCCTGGAAGTAGAATAAAAGATGTTTCAAAGAAAAGGGAGTAGTCAAACGCTGCCTAAAGGTCAAGGAAAACGTCAACCAGGAAAAGATTTCTGATTTAGCGATGTGGAGGTCATCGGTGACATTGACAGTCCCAGTTGCGATGGACAATGGGATGAGAAAGCCTACCTGGAGAAGGGTTGTCAGAGCAACTGAACACAAATGCCCCTTTTTGTTGTTAGAAGGTTGAGCTTCATTTTAAAAGCCAGAAATTCAGACTTTTTACTCATCCAAATGAGCATTGTGTCCACAGCGATCGGAATCAGTCAGATATTACTTGAGGAATCCCCCTTTCAAAGGACAGAAACTTTTTGTGAAATACGTTTCAGCAGTTTTGAGCCTGGCAGTCTGTGGTAACTGAAGAAACACAACCACTTCGGTGAGTTTGCAGCTCAAGGTATTTTGAGTTTTCTAATCTAACTTCTATCTTTGGATGCACACACACACACACACATCCAAAATATGACATCATGTTCTGTAGATGAATATTTCAACTCATTTTAAATTGTTATTTCATTCAAATATCTCATTATTTATTTTTGTTTTTATTTAATCTTTATTGTATTTTTCCCATCACCATTTAGTCCCCTTATACCCTCCTCCCCCCATCAATCACCACACTGTTGTCCATGCCTGAGTCCTTTTTCCTTTTTACTTGGTCCCTCCACCCTCTAACCCTGCCTCCCACAGCTGTCGGCCTGCTCTCTATGAGTCTGTCTGTTTTGCTTATGAGTTCAGTGTGTTCATTAGATTCCACATGGCAGTGAAATCATATGGTGTTTGTCTTTCTCTGACTGGCTTGTTTCACTCAGCATAATGTTCTCTAGGTCCATCCATACTGTCTCGAAGGGTAAAATTTTCCTCTGTTTTATGGCTGAGTAGTATTCCATTGTGTAAATGTCCCATAGTTGTTTTATCCACTCATCTGCTGATGGACAGTTGGGCTGCTTCCATATCTTGGTGATTGGGAATAATGTTGCAATGAACACAGGGGTGCTTATGTTCTTTGAATTAGTGTTTTGGGTTCCTTTGGATATATTCCCAGAAGTGGGATCACTGGTCAAAAGGCAGATCCATTTATTTTTTGAGGTGTCTCCATACTGCTTTCCACAGTGGCTGCACCAGTCTGCACTCCCACCAACAGTGCACAAAGGTTCCCCTTTCTCCACATCCGCACCAGCACTTGTTGTTTGCTGATTGATTGATAGCCATTCTGACAGGTGTGAGATGGTATCTTATGTAGTTTTAATTTGCATTTCTCTGATGATTAGTGACACTGAGCATCTTTTCACATGTCTATGGGCCATCTGTATGTCCTCTTCGGAGAAGTGTCTATTCAAGTCCTTTTGCCCACATTTTATTGGGTTGTTTGTTGTTTTGTGTTGAGTTTTGTAAGTATTTTATAAATTTTGGATATCAAGCCCTTATCATATGTATTGGTGTTTGTTTTAAAATAATTTTTTAAAGATTTTATTTATTTATCTTTAGAGGGGAAGGGAAGGAGATAGGGAGAGAAATACCAATGTATGGTTGCCTCTCTTGTGTCCCCTGCTGGGAACTGGCCTGCAAATCAGGCATGTGCCCTGACTGGGAATCGAACCGCGATACTCTGGTTCCTCAGGCCCACACTCAATCCACTGAGCTACCCCAGCCAGGGAGTTTTAAAATAATTTTTAAATAATGGTTCTCATTCTATGGACATTCATTTCTTACTTGTAGACATTGGTTCCCATTGTCAACAGTGGGCACCAAATCTCAGAAATCATGAACTTGAGATTAAAGGCAGGGCAGGAAAAGCTGTCAGTGAAACATGCTAACATCAAGCATCTGCGCAGGACAGGGTCGGGTTCAGACTCGGAACCACAAGGGTGCTATGCAGTACAAAGATTTCATTCTCGTGATGTCACTTTGCTGTAACATGAAAGACAAGAGTCCTCCCCACCCAAGGGCAGTGGCCGATTTCCCAGACGGCTCGTTTCCCAAAACGAGCTTCGAAAGCCAAAGCTCAGAAGATGCCAATGCAACCCACACTGATGCTTCGTCTCATGTTATTTCTCAATTTTATGCTTAATTTACTCCTCTTGGTTTTATGTATTTTGACACAGCCAAGTGTAGGTGGGGATTTCCCCACAGCCCTTTAAATGCTATAAAACTTTAATATGGGGAGATAAAACCAATAATAAGCCATGCCTCCCAGCCCTCACATCTAGTTCATTGGAGCTGAGCACGAACCCTTTTTGATAGATTTAGATTTTCAAGTTCTTGCACTGCTTTTAACCGCCCCTGGGCCTGTCCTTGCCCTCCTCCCCCACGCAAATGAAAATTATATTCAACCCATAACCCGGGCAAGCAACACCTTACTGATGGCACAAAGTGGCATCTTTACAATCCTTACATTATCAGGATAATGGCCTACACCATGCCTGAGCCAGTGAGATTCAACGTGGTTCAGAGGAAAGCCAGGAAGAACGCCCAGCCCCAAGTTCAGGTGTGCAACCCTGAAACCTCTTTTGGAAAAAATGAAGCACTGCTCCGGGAAGTCTGGGGAGTTCGTCTGTTTCAGTTTAATTGCCTCCTCCCTGCTTCCTAATACCCTTAAAACCTCTGAGAGCCTTTAATGTACAAAGTTCAACAAAAATACCTTCAAAGCAGATTAGTGCTAATTATAGTTAATATTTGTTTGCTGTTTTATTGAATAAACTACATTTGCTTTTTTATTTAAAAAAAAAAGAAATTCACTTAACTGCATGTCAGTCGCCCAAATTTTAAGTGTACAAATGAAATGGAAAACATTTATTACACAAATTTAATTACCATTCTAAGAAATAAACATGCAAATTAGATAGAGTTCAATTTGCAGATGCTAATCCTCGTCCTTGATCTTGCTCCTTTCCTCTCTGGTTTTCAGTCTGTGCCTCTCCTTAATTCCTAGGGAGCCTGGCAGCCAGAGGTTTGGTTTTTCACAGTCGGAGGATCACTGTTTTAAAGAAGTGTTATATTTAGCACATCTGGCATAGTAGCAGTAAACAAACATTATAGTCTTTGTAACACTTTCGTGCAGGTGCCTTCCCCCTGATTTTATTAGGTCTATGCCTTCCAAGCCTCTGCGTTCATTACACCTGAAATGACCCATCTCGACTTCGGAGGGGTCCCTAGACAGAAGTTATGAATTAATGTTTCAAAAAACAAACTCCAATGGAGCCCAATATAGGGGAAAATTACTATTTGCAAAATAATGTGATTCCGGGGTGGTTTAAATTACATTCTCTTGACCAAGGACAACCTCCTTTATTACATTTTTATTTCCTGGAGGTTTTCCCTGGAGGCTCCCCAGCCAGAAAGTGTTGCCAATTGAAGTTGCAGCAAGACCAAGGTTCTTTTTTATGCTCCTGCAGCTCCGGAGGGGACCGGCGGGGGCGGGCGGCGAGGGGGGAATAACTGCTCGGTCCTGCAAAGACATCTGTTTCTCATCTCCGTTTGCTGTGGCAAAGGAGAAGAAAGTCTTTTGCAGAGGGTGGGAACGCACAGATTTTTTTTTTTTTCAGTCACACGCACACACAACAACAACAAAACTAAACCAAATTTAAAAAGAGAGAAGACATCTCAGAAGGTTGCCGAGTGAATACATTATTCGGCTGGAGCCGAGCCCCCGGGGCTAGGGCGGGAGCCGGGAGCGCGTGGGGTCTGGGCTGCGGGCTGGAGCCCGGCCCGCGTGTCCCCGGGCACCGCGAGGGGAGGAGGCGGGGAGGGAGGGCGGGAAGCAGGCAGGGGGCGGGCTGGGCTGGGGGTGAGGGAAGGCGCCCCGCGCGCTGCCGGAGGAGCGGCGGCGGCGGCGGGAGGGAGGGAGGGAGGGAGGGAGAGCGGGCGCGCTTGTCATGTTCCCTCTCTCACCCTGGGGGCATCCTGCACAACCTCTCCTCGGAAATCCACGGGGAAATGGCAAACAGGATTGACGGGTTTCACACGCTCCTCGCTAGACAGAGCCGCTCATTACCATAACCGTCTGCAGCGACGGCGGCGCGGCGCCCCAGTCGCGGCGGCGGGACCTGCCCGGACCCTCGCCCGCGGCGCACCAGCGGCCACCGCCGACGCCACCGGGGCGGCCGGGCGGGACCCGCGCGACTGTGCACCGGCGGCCGGGCTGGCGCGGAGCCCGAGCGGACAGGGAGCAGCTGGAGCGCTGCGGCCGCCGCCTCCCGCTGACCCCGCGGTAAGAGCCGGGCTGGCCGTGGGCGGCGGGGGCGGAAGGGCCAAGGCCGATCCCCCGGCCTCCGCCCGCCGGGACCGGCGCCCACGCGGCCTCCCGCGCGCCTCCGGGCACCGGGGCGGCGTTGGGGTCACCGAGGGGTCTCGCGCAGGCCGGAGCGGGGAAGGCGCGCGGCCAGGGCGCCGCTGGGCGCGGAGGTGGCGCGGGCCTGTCTGGGACCCGCCGAGGCGCCTTTCCCCGGGCGGGAACCGCCGCCTCCCGGGCCGCTCCTGCGGCCGCCCGCGCGCGCCCAGCCGAGTCCAGGGGCAGGTGGAGGCGGCCGCTCGGGCGAGACCTCAGGGTCCTGGGTGGCTGCCTGTTCCCGTGTCCTAGGGGACAAGGGCCAGTAGGGGGGATGCCTCCGGGTCTGGGCGCCGCGGCGCCTGGCAGGTGGGGAGGGAGGGGATGGCGGATGTCAAGAGCGCGCGTTTACTAGAAAAGGAATAGCTGCAGGAGCTGACACCTTCTGTCCCCGCCACCTCCGCCCGCGCACTCGCCTCCCCGGCAGCCGAGCCGCGCTGCGGGCGGCGGCGGCTCGCCTGTCCTCAGCTCACCTCCCGGGAGGGCTCCGCGGCTGCCCGCCGGGTCCACGCCTTCGCCCCTCTCCTCCTGTCCTCCCCTCCCGCCTCCTGAGCCCTCGCAACTTTCCCGAGTGTCCGGCTGGGGCGGCGGAGATGGGGTGTGGCGCGGGCTGGGCGCTTGCTGGCGGGAGCTGCGGCTGTGTCCCCGCAGTCCCCGCGCAGGGCGCTCCCGCAGCCTCCCGCGCGGAGTCGGCTGGGCAGGGAGGGAGGAAGGGAGGGCCGGGCGGGATCGGCTGCGGGCTGGAGCGCAGACTGGGGCCAGCCTCGCCAGAGCCCAGCCAACCGCCCTGAGTCATTTCCTTGGAATCCTACCTTTGGTGTTTATTTCCCTTAGAAGGAAACTTGGTTTAAAAAAAAAGAAGAAGAAGAAAAGAAAGAATAATAATAGCTCTTATTCTTCAGGAGAGGCGCAGGACTCGAGCACCGTGGAAAGACAACTTGCCTTTGTTCCCAGACACTTGGGGTGTTGTTTACTTTCTCCTGCTGCCGGTGGCAGGCAGGGCTCTGCTCAGCACCCCAGAGAGGGGCTCAGAGGCTTAGGCCCCGACCCCTCGGGGGTGTGGCTGTTTCCGAGCCAGCTTCCGAGGGCTGCTGCCAGCCTGCATGGAGTCGGTTCTCCAAACTCGGACCCCAGGCTTGGGCCTGAGATGGGGAGACCTGGCGCTGGCGCTTGGACACCCAGGCACCCTCGCCACGCCCCCACCACCCCAAGCACCCCAAGGCCCAGGACCCGCATTCCCAGCCCCAGGGCCAGACTTAAATAAAGCTCTTGGTTCTCCGCTGGGCTCCCGGAGGAGCTACTGTTGAGAAATATACCTCCCAGGACAGACAGGTGTACTGCCAGGGCTGGCAGGAAAGTGATGTCTGCCTATTCAGAAGGTGTTGAAGGATTTTATTCCGCCCCTGCAGCCTCTTCTCGACAGTTGGACCACCTCTACCCAGAGCTGGTCGAGCTGTTGAGATCTTATCGGGGACAATGTTGAGGTCTGGGCTTGGTTCCACCGGGGCACGACATTTAAGCCTGCCAGTGTCAAAGGTGCTTTGCAAATAGCAGCCCTTTACCTCCTCGCTTTTCAGTATTGGAATCAGGCTGCCACAATGCTCTGAATAAAACGTCCTCCAATTTCCATGACAAACGTGGGAGGGGTGTGCAAAGAATGACCAGAGGCCCCTGCTAGATTCAAGGTGCCACTGAATCTGCAGCCACCCCGTTCCCTGTGCCAGCCACTCCTATTAGCATCATAATGGCTCCGAGAAAAAAGAAGCCCCACTCATCTGAAAAAAGCAAACTGTATAGAAACGCCGGGTAACTTTACTGTGAGCATTTGCCGGGAAAGCGTGACATTTCCGCCCTCAGCCTCCTGGGAATGCTTGAGGTGACATTCCACTACATCCACCTGGCTCACAAACAGGCACGCAGGAGCCTGAGCGGGAAAGGTCAGAGCCTTCTTATTTTTTAAACACACTGGAACTCCCTCCTCACCCACCCCTCCTCCTCCTTCTTCCTCTTTTTTTTTGGGGGGGGGGTTTGGAACACCCTTTTTTTGAATCCTCTCACCAGTCATGTTAAGCAAATGTTTCCATTAATATGCATCTTAGTGGTTATATCTAATACTAACAGCATCTAAATCTGTGGATTTAAACTTATGAATTCAGTAGCAGAATTATGTAACTCTCCACACAGAGTACAATGACGGTGTAGATCTGCACATACAAGACAAATAAAGAATCGTGTGAGATATCGGTGCTTCGCGCTGCACACTCCAGTGCTTTCATGAACCCTAAACTTGCCTTCTTAATTTGTTAACATCCCCGACTGTAAATTCTAAGTAGACTAGGAAGACTCAATTGCAAAATCTCCTCCCCACTCGCGAGCAATCTCAACTCATGTATATTTTATTCACACTTACATAAATCACTGTGAAACTCGGCCTCTCCAGGTTAGGATTTTGTGTGTAAAAGTTTCCAATTCAGAAAAAAAAACCTTACTGAAATTGGGTATCATGAAGGAAAAAAAACAGCCAAGATAAAAACAATTCTGCCATGTTTCAAGTTTGTGTATCAAGTTCAAATGCTTAATGACAAAATTTTATGTACTGGAAACAATACTAACGAATAGAAACACTGAAATCCTTAACAACCAAAAAAGCTACAACAATGAGTCCTTAAAATACAAACAAACTCTTACTAACATAAAACAGTACAGGGTCCACATAATGTCCTCTTAAACAAAGGTAATTGCTGCATGGGGCTTGCAGAGGCCTTCTTGTTTTATGAAGGGGCATGGATTTGTCAACCTGCTTTGGTTTGGATGCAATAAAAAGTTCTTAGGCAAAACCCTTGGATCTTATTCCCAGAATCCAGCACAAAAGGGAGGGTAAATTTCAAGCTGGAAAATAGTGTTGCCGTCTCCAAGAGAGGGCTGCTGCCTCCGAAAAAGCTATAATTCCTGTGTTCCTGGCAACAGCACTTCCTGATCCAATTGTCTTAAAATAGGTTAAGAATTTCAGTTTGGACCATTTCATGAGAGTCTTCCAGGGAATAAATTATCATGAGGTTGGAGGCCTTGTCTGGATGCGGAGTTGAGGGGGTGACAGACAGAATGGTGTAGTTTGTGCAATCGATGTAGTCTTAGCCTCTTGGCTGATGTCTCCAAGAGCAAAATTAATAACACGTGGCACCATCGCTTTTCAGAGAATTAATCGAACCTCCTTTCCCCCTCCCCTCTTGTAATAAGATTTTCTAATAAGTCCTGGCTGCTGCCTCTTTGGAGAGCATTTGAAAAGAGAAGGGGTAGGTGGTGTAGAAGCCCATATTCCAGCCGCCGACCCAGACGCCTCCCCTGTCCGTCAGAAGCCCTTGCTTCATTCTTCAGGGAGGCTGGGATGGCCTTCAGGATTCCAAAGAGAAGCCTGGGTGAAGGATGGAGTCATTGCTGCCAAGGGCTGGTCTGTGGGCCAGTAGGACATTGACACTTTAGTGAAGCTTATTCCCTGCCCCTGGTGTCTTTTTACCTGGAAGTGGACTCTTGTTATAACATGTAGGTAATACCAGTCTCCCAGGAGACAATAGGAGATTCACCCTTTCCCCAAAACATTATGAGCTGTATAATTTGGAGAAGAAAGCAAGAACTAGACCCTTACTGCACATAGGAAAGACAATCGAGCTGCAGAAAGCAGGTCTGACATCACTCTTTGTGACAGTTCTTCAAACTGCAAAGTGACGTAAGGGAGGTTGGGCTCTCCTGAAGGAACCAGCACCTAGTAAGGCCCCGAGGTTGCTCTCCTGTCCCCACCTATCTATCTGTGGTCTCTGGGTCTTTCTGCTTTAGCCTCAGACCCTTTTATCCCTTGAACTCAATCTTGACCCTACCTTGAGCCCTACTTAGGAAGAAGTGAGGACACTGTGCCCCACCTGAGTTGTGGAGGAGCTCGGGGTACATCCCAGGGCGGAGAGGCCCCCTGACTCCCTGGAGGCCCTGGGGAAGGATGTGAACTGGAGAGAAGGGCAGCGGTGTGTTGCCTCTTGGAAAGTTCCTGCCTTGTGTCTGGGCTTTGTAGTGTAGAGTTGCCGGCTGCCTCTGGCCCCCGAAACCCTGGCTCCTGTTTAATATTCTGCTTGCTCCGTTGATGTTGTGCTTGGCTCCTGTGGGACTGCAACTCACGGCTTGAAACTGGAGCCAATTTTCTGTCTTCATCTCTCAGTGTTTTGACTGGAGGCAGATCCAGTTCAGGCCGATCGGGGCTGGTGGAAACAACTACCAAGTGTGTCTCTGTCTGCTTCGCTTTGGGAGAAGAAAGTGGAGGGAGCCCCAGAATGTTGTAGAGGAACTGGCCCTGCGGAAACGAGAGGAGGGAGGGGGCAGCGGAACAGACGGACCGAGAGCATCAAGAAGGATTCCGGTGGAGATATCTGCCTCCCCTACCCCTTGCCTTTGATTGATTAGCGGATTTCATCAAAGGAGAATCTCAGGGGATTGGCTGGAAAATTGATTGTGCCTTATTAATAGAAAGGAAGCGCAAGGGTTTTGGCCTTGCCTCCTAGCGGTACATTTTCTGCAGCAAGGTCAGGAGGAAACTGTTTAGGAGGCAAAGCAGCTGTCTCAAGCAGGGCTGAGGGGAATCCGAGAACAATAAGAAATGGGGTTTTAAAGATCCGCCCATGAAATGCAGATTGCCGAACGCTGGGCCTGAGCTACTAGCAGCAAGAGAGTTCGCTGAGGTTTTCTTTGAAAAAACAATGAAATGTTTCAGGACGAAGGGGAGGACCAAGAAGTAAAAGTTTCCCAAAGCAAAGGGAGGAAGGTGCCCAGGCCATCACCTGGCTGCCTCCTGATTAGGGCTGTTTTCTGTTTTTTTCAGATCTGAGGCTGTCAGAGATGACTCTGGTTCTGTCCATGAATAGATTCTGCGAGCCCATTGTCTCGGAAGGAGCTGCTGAAATTCCAGGGTACCAGACACTATGGGAGGCTGACAGCTATGGAGGTCCGAGCCCCCCAGGGCCACCCCAGGCTCCTCTGCAGGGAGACCGGGGAGCCGGCCCCCCGCTGGCAGGTACTGCTCTTGACCTTGCCCTGCTGCCCTCTGAGGCCAGACTGGTGGGAGGAGGTGGTGTCTGCAGGGCCTCTGGGAGCTGAGCCGGCTCCAGGGACTTTCCAGGCTGCCTGTGTGCCTCTCTTAAGTGAGCCCAGGGCCCCAGGGAGAGCACCAGAGGGGTATTTAAATTGCATTCAAATCTGAGTCTGGACATGTGCTTCTGCTTTGTGTGGAAGTCCTGAGTCTGTATTTTTAAGAGAGCCAAACCAGATCGTGAAACTCTCAGTCTGGGTTTTGGTTTTCCACTCTGTGGAACTGCACAGTTCTCAGAGCTAGACAAGTCCCAGTGGGCTCTCGACCATGAAACCTTCATCCCAGGAGACAGTAAGGAATCTGCATTTGGGGCCGGCAGCTATGTGTCTCTTCCTTTTATTAAGCACACAGTTGGCTTTGGGGTTGTAGGGAAAAGTGGCAAAGCTCAGAAAACAGAAATATGTTCTTTCTGATTCTGTAATCTAATATTTCAGGTAAGTTCCTTTGGATGTCTAGGTAGTATGAGCAATTTAAAAAACCCCACAGTGCAAAACAAGTACTTGTGAAGTCTGTTTTGCTAAAAAGGGTTAAAAGCTGTGGTCTTTAAAAATTAGACCCTACTCGAATTCATGGTTAACATGTTCCATTTTTTGGGAGCAAAAAGGACTTCGGTTACCCAACATTTCAATTTAAAATGTAAAATTTTATATTTTGAAAGAAGAAATATTATAACTTAAATGTACAGGTAATTATCTCTTTCTTAACTAAAGAAAATAATATTTTAAAGTTGTATAATTATTAGTGCCTCCAATTTAAAATGTATGTATTTGAACAGTGGTGTTGGTACCCTGGATTTAACTAAACAACTTGAATAAACGCTAATATTATTTCGGAGTTGTTACACTCCTCTTCTTTATGAGTTTGCCTGTACAAAATATCTGAGTATTTAGTAACTGCTGAAATATGTCATCTTTCCTCTGTGATTGTCTAGAGAGGCTGGCCTGGGTCGCAGGAGTCTGTATGATAGCAACTATTAAGACAAGTGTTTATTTTTAATCACCACATGTACAGACAGATACAAAGCCAAGTTATCTTCTAGAAGGAAAGGGAAGAAAAGTATTTTGTTTGGAGAACCTCTGGCAAACCGCATGTCATTTGTCATATCTGATTTATTACTACAGGATCACATTACAGGGGAATTTCAAACCCTTTAACAACATCCAAGATTGCATACTTTAAGAGGAAGTATGTGGAAGAAGAGGACTTTCACCCACCACTCAGCAGCTGTAGCCATAAAGTATGTTTTTTTAAATAGTCATTATTTTTATTAAGAGTTTAAGATACTGAGTAACAGTTGCTTGATCCATTTCCAAAAATTAAACGGTTCCACCCAAGCAAGGAAAATGAGCTACTTCTCGTCAGAGCCATATTAAGCGTTGTCACTTTTTTGGGTCCTGTGTTATTTTTCACAAGAAGTTGAAGAAAGAGCCAGTAAAAGCTCCTCTCCCCAGAAATAGCAAAATTAGATCATCCAACAAACGTCTTTAATACAAATGATTTAGTTTTTCTCAAGTTGTGTGAAGGGTGTGGTTCGTCCTGGTTCGCACACGTGCCGAGATGCCCTTGCTCCTCCTCGAGGGGCGGCTGCCCTGAGCTCCCGCCAGCGCCTGCGGCCACTGCTGCCCTCACCTACCTGGGGGTGGAGCCTCCGGGCTGGTCTCGCCCCCGTAGGGGTGGACTCACCGTCCCTTAAATTTGTGCACGAAAGTAGAAACGTGCACTTCATTGCACACTTATTACATGTGTTTAGTTTATTAAAATACATCACCCATTCTCCAAAGAACACCAAAACTAACTTTTTTTCATGTTATAAGAGCATAACAGAATTCGGAAAGTATGTGCAAGAGTGAAACTGGCCATCTAAGCTTTTCAAATACCAACTCTTATTCCCTATGGTTATCTTCCTTCCAAAAAAACAACAACAAACAAACAAAACT